TTTTCAGAGGCTGTGACAAGGTGGCTCCTGCTTGCTTTCCAGTTCCCACCATCTTCCTGAGCAAGAAGCCTCGAGAAAAGGAGGTGGATTCTAAGAGCCAGGTCATTGAAGGCATCAGCCGCCTCATCTGCTCTGCTAAGCAGCAGCAGACCATGCTGAGAGGTGTGGGCGGGGGGTGGGTGGGGGAGGAGGGGGGCTCTGGCACTCCCCAGCGACCCTGGGAAGATGGCCTCAGCAGCCCCGGTCACCCCCTCGCCTCCCCTGTCACCCCCAGTGTCTATCGATGGAGTCGAGTGGAGTGACATCAAGTTCTTCCAGCTGGCAGCCCAGTGGCCCACCCACGTCAAGCACTTTCCAGTGGGACTGTTCAGTGGCAGCAAGGCCACCTGAGGGCACTGTCTCCTGGCTACTCTCCCTCCTGGCACTGCCACCAGCCTCACCGCCTGCAGGCAGGGGGAGGCCAGCAGGCCCAGGCCCAGCGTCCCCTTTCCTGGCCCCGGGGCCTGCATCTCCCTGGCCCGGTCCTGAAGGCCACTGCCGCTGGGGACGCTGCTCCCCACCCCCCCCCCCCGCCACGCTGGGTCCCGTCCGTGGGCAGCCCCCGCCCTCCCTCTCTCCTTTTCCTCCTCTCCCTCCGTTCCAGGCCCAAGGCATGTTGGATTTTGCCTTCTGGCGGCCAACCCTGGTCCCTGGAACTGAGTCCTCCGGGCCTTCCTTCGTCTGACTTCCAACCTCTTTCTCCACGTGGCACCAGTTCCCTTCCTGGAAACAGGAAACCCAGGGTCCTGGCCCACAGCAGGGGGTCCAGCCTCCCCCGTCTCCCCCAGGATCTCGTTTTCTAAAGCTCAGCTGCCAGATGCCACTCAGCCGGCCCCCCTCTAGTGGGGCCCAGAGCCAAGGCCACTTCCCACTGCTGTGGGCTGACGGGGCACGAACCCTCCCGCCCACTCACCCCAGGACAGCATTTCTGAGGCCACGCGTGGGCTTCTGGGGTGGAGAGGGCTCCATGGTCTCGCCCGTGCAAGGGTTCACCGCACCCAGGTCCCCTGTAGGTGCTGCGCGTGTCCCTGAGCGGTTCTTCGGTTGTCCGCCCGGCCAGTCTCTCGGTGGTTCCGTGTGACTCACCTGGGCGCTGGTCCCTGCCCTTGGGTCCCCCCTGTTGACGGCTCTCCTCCCCAGCCTCCTCGCCCACACCCCCAGCACACCTCCGCCTCTGCCTGCAGCTCTGCACCCGGAGAGAGAGATGGGAGGCAGCCCCATCCAACGTGTCGTCTGTGGCCCCGGTCCCTGCGGCTCCCTGCTCCCCGTGTCCATCCGTTTCCTTTCGCCAGTCTGTCCTCCCCTCCTCACCTGGACCCCTGGCCTGGACAGGCCCCGTCCTCCTAGCCAAGCCTCCCTCTCTCCACGGCCTCGGGGGGCCCGAGCCCCTCAGCCCGCACCATCGGCCTTCTCGGGGAGATGCGGAGCGCGTGGGTGGAGCTCCAGCTGCAGCCCTCCCAGCCCATCAGCGCCTCCGGAGCTTTGCCGTGGCCCTCTCACCCCTTCTAGAAGTTTTTGCACAGAACTTCATTTTGAAAAGCGTTTTTCTCATCCTCCATACCTCCCCCAAACTCCTCCAGCCCTTCCCCCGGCTCAGCCCTGCTGTCCAGAGCGTCCCTGGGGCTGTGCTGCTCACTCAGTCGGAGAGAGGGGCGGGGTGGGAGGGACTAAGAGGATGTTGGATTTTTCATTCAATAAACTGGTGATTTCTTACCAACGAGCAAGCCTTAGGCTTCTGCGCCTCTCATTGTGACACAAGATCTGTCCAGCCTCGTCCCCACTTCACGCCGCGGCCACTTCACTCAAAATCAACTGGGGGGACTTCCCTGGAGGTCCAGTGGTTAGGACTCCACACTCCCACGCGGGGGCCCCCGGGTTCGATCCCTGGTCAGGGAACTGGGGTCCCGCAAGCTGCGCGGTGCAGCCAAAAAGGGAAAAAAATCAACTGGGAACTGGCTGGAAAGAAGCAGTTTCCTACTTGCTTGATGATAGAAACAGAGGCGTGAAGGTGTGTTGCCCAGTCTGAGGCAAGCCGAGGTCAGGAACAGAAGTCACACCATTCCCGCTCCGAAACCCCACTTTTCTCTGGCACCTGCCGTCCCCAGATCCCACCTCCCAAGGCAATGACACATCGTGGGCAGCTTCCACTCTTCCGAGTGGATATTAGAACTCGGCTTCTCTCCTGCTGCTAGGCTGACGTCCTTGCCACAGTTTCCGAAAGTTGGTGAAGTCTGAGGCCCAGGTGGAGGAGGTGAGCTGGGGTCCATCGTCAGGCTCGCTTTCCTGCCCACCCTTAACCTTAGAGGTGACGGTCAGAGCTCCTGCTTCCTGGAAGCCTGGCTCTTCACGTGCTCCCGGGACAGAGGCCTGCATGCCAGTGCCCAGAAGTGGGAGCTTGCATGTCCCCCACCCCCCGCCACCGCCTGCAGGACACAGCCCCAGAGGAGCAGACGGCCAAGTGGGGCAGGCTGTCCCTGGCTCCTCAAGTCCTGCGGCCAGGTCACCTAACAGAGGGAGGCTCTGGGACCCAGCAGTGCGGCCACCCAGGCTCTCTGGGCCTGGAAAATGGAACCAGTGCCCGTCTTCCAAGGGTCAGAGTCTAGTCAGGTACCGGAAGTTGTCCCAGAAACGCAGTCTGCACGTTACTTCCCGGATGAGGGGTACAAGCCAGCCAGTGAGAGGAAATGCCAGGAGAGGGCGAGGCTGAGGTGGGCTAGACGGGGTACAGAGCCAAGGCGCCCACGGAGGCTCCGGCAGGGCAGGGGCCTGGGGACCTGGGCGCTGGTGGGGGGGCCGAGCGGGACGGGCGTGGGACAGGTGGACTCAGGTCCCAGCTCAGAACCGAGAGGGGAAGCAGATGACTGAGAGACGAGCGTGAGGAGGCCGCGTGAACTCCCTGCCGGCCTGACTCCAGCCTCGGCCTCCTGCCCGCTGAGACCAGCACCCTCCCCTGCTCCTGCCCTGGCCCAGGGTCCCTCCCACCTTCTCTAGGGCTTCCTCCTGCTGCGCCCCCTCTCCTGCATCATCGGTTCCCCCACTCCACCAGGTGGTTCACGTCCACGTGCAGACGCGCAGTAATAGCTCCCTGGTTCTAAATCCCCTCTGGCTGCCACACCACTCTCTGCTCCCCTTACAGCGAAAGTCTTCAAAAGGGGGTGTTGCAATGTAAATAGAAGTGAGAGTTTTCTTTCTTCTGAGAGCAGGGAAAACAAAGGGAACAGCAAACAGGCTAGAGAAGAAACAAAACCTGGCCTGAAAGAGTTAATCACTCCTTGGTTTACTTTAACTGTCACTAATTGGTAGTTAACTAGATTTGTACTTTATAAAGCTAACCTCACTCCCTGACACTACGTAATTTACATTCGGCACCTATCACCCCTAACTCTTATGTGACTTACACCCCATGCCTCTCACTCCCTAACCTTATTACCACCCGGCACTCACATTCTGTACGCCCCTGGTAACAAATCACCCCCTATAGTTTCTGCATTTCAGAAACAGGATCACCGGCTGATAAGCCAGAGGCAAACGGATGCAGTTACCAGACTGCCAGCCCCCAATTACCAGGTGGCCTGATGCCATCTATAACTGCTTTGAAATAATGCAAAGATAAAGAAGAATGCAAGACCTTCACTAGTTTGATCCTAATCTTATACCCCGGATTGCAAGCCCCACATATAAAATCTTCCCTAATTCCCAAGCAGGGAGGGCACAATTCTTGAGGCCCTAGCCTGCTGTGTCTTCCCTTCTGCCTGGCAGAAAATAAAGCCATCTCTCTCTTCCTCCAAAATCCCTGTCTCCGTACTTCTGTTCGGCCTTGGTGCACAGGGAAGCCGATATTTCGGCAACAGGGGCTGCTCGGGTTCCCTGCCTCCGGTCCTCCCACTCCTCGGGCTTGTTCCTCACTTCTCCATCAGGAGTTAGGAGTTCCTTTGCCAAGGTCACTGATGACGTGGGCTGCCAGGTCCAAGGCTCAGTTTTCTTGTCTGACTGACTAGGAGCATCTGATGCACATGATCACTCCTCGCTCTGCCTGTGGACGGCGCTCTGCTCTCCCCGCCCCCGCCCCCCCGGCCCCCACCCCTCCCCGCCTCTTCTCTGGCTGCTCTTTCTGGGCCTCCCTTGTGTCCTCCTCATCTTCCCAACCTCTGGCCTCCCCTCTCCCCTCACCCAGCCCCAGGGTGGGAGACACTCCCTGTGTTCAGACTTCCCGACTCTGTAGTTGCTGAGGCCGGAATCTTTAAAATCGTCCTCGACTCCTATTTCTCACACCCAGCATCCAGTCCCCCGGCAAATCCTATAGGCCTTCCCTTGCAGACGGACCCAGAGCCCTGCAGCTCCTGGCCTCTTTCACTGCTGCTCTCTTCTCTTGTCTGGATGTCGTAATAGCCTCCTAATTACCTCTGCTTCCATCTACTCTTCCCGTAGCCTGTTCTCCACACAATGGCCAGAGAAAGCCTTTTAAAATGTTAATTAGATCGTGTTAAATTACTGATCCAAACTGTCCAATGGCTTCCCACCCCACTAGGAATATAATCCAAAGACCTCCTCACAACCTCCAGGGCCTACCTGATCTGACCTGCCTGGGACTGCTTATCTGATCTCCTTTCACTCTACCCCTCACCCACTGGCCTCCTCTGCATTCCTCAGACACACGGTGCACATACTGCCTCAGGGCCTTTGCATGAGCCATCCCACCCCCCCATCCTGCTCCTGCCCCTGGATCCATATGACTTGCTCCCTCACTCTGGTCTCAGCTTAAATGCCACCTCAGAGAGGCCTACCCTGTTCAGCCTCTCTAGAATAGCACCTCCCTTTTCTCTCACCCTTTTGTTTTTCTTATTAGCACTTCTCACTCCTTGGCATTTAATTACTTGTCTCTCCCCAACCAGAAGGTAAGCTCCAAGAAAACAGGAACTTTATATATTTTGTCTGCTCTTTCCTTGGCACCCAGGATACTGCCTGGCTCATCATAGGTGAACCAATACATATTTGCTGACAGAATGAATGAAAAGCCTTTGCGCTGCTGGAACGGATGGGACTCCTCATCCACAGTTGCTACTCAGACCCTTCAAGGCCTCAGCCCCAAAGGACACCTGAGTTTTCTCGTAGGCGTGGAGCAGCAACGTAGACATTTACTCTGAGCAAAGGGGAGGTAGAGGGTTGTTCAGGAATGGTTTCCAGGATTCCAAAGGCAAGGCAGCTCTGGTGGAAGATGCGCCCCAAGACGACTCGCCAGGGGCCAGGCCAGAGCACAGCTGCCCATGGGGCCGCCAGAACAGAAATGTTCTTTAAAGGCAAAGGGGTGGCATTTTGGTACAGAAGGTAGAGGAGCCACTATCTGATCTGCACACCGACTCCGGACTGGTTT